TTCATTGACGTCGAAGATCCCAATTTTGCAGTGCTTAAAACCATTGACAATTGTCTGTAGCTTCATATCAATTGACCGTGCTTCAACTGCATTTGCAATTCTATCAATGACACTTATTTTTGCTAGTTCCAAGACACGATCTTCTATCCATTTTAAAAGTAAACAATTGAAGCGCTGAATTAAAATCCTGATACTACCAAAACATGAATTGAAATCCTAATATTGTAATACTAAACATGAATTATAAAATAAGAAATCAAAACAATAATTTTTGTAACTACACCTCCATTAAGTTATAATCTCCTCACAGTAATAAAATTATTTCATCCCACTATTATGACTATAGAGAGGTTTTACTGTATATAAACCTATTCTTATAGATTGACCCTCTAAAAAGAATGTATTAAAAAAAATTATGGTTGAATTTGTTTGGAAAATGATGTTTTGCTCAAGTAAGCTCTTACACATCTATAATAATAATAATAATGATAATAAAATAACAATAATTTGGTATTTTAGAAAAATTCTTTCATTTATATTTTTTATATGTGTGGTTTGAATATGTGTTCTTGAGATCATGTTAATTTCATTGAAAAAAAATAAAAATTAAATTATATCGTGAACTTAATCTACGAGACAAAAAGAGTATATGTCTTTTGGTATGCTAATCATAAATATGTCATCTCCCAATTTCAATATATGAAAAAAAAAATAACTATATAGCTATGTTTTTAATTGTATTTTTAAGTAAAATTTTGAAAATAGTGTTAGATAGGAGTATTTTAGTCCAAAAAAAAGTATGATTAAATAGTAAATTTTTTTTTTTTAAATGGATTATTAATTGTAAGAAAATGTGTTGTGCATTAAAAAGTTTTACAAAAAAGATTAGTCTTTTAGATTAGATATCAAACGTTGAGATAAATTATTTCACAAGAAGCTTAAATAACTTCTGTTAAAAGGATTAATTTATAAAAAAATCTTATATAATTAACCTTTTTTTTTTTTTTTTTTTTTTTTTTTTTTTTTTTTTGGTGATATGGGATATCTGAACTAGCTTACAAACATCTGGATTAATCCTTCAAAACCCTAAAATAAAGCATCACCCAAACAACTCAGTCAAAACACTACTTTCATATAATTAACTTTTTGTTACAAAGAGTCCAAAGTTGAATGGCAATGGACAACAAACATTGATATGAATTATTCACTTTCGTCCCTTTACCTAAGTATGTCATCACCCAGCCAACTCACTCAAAACTCTTTAAAAAGTGGCCTGCCATTAGGGATGACAATGGGCCTGATATTTTTGGATACCCGGCCTGGCCCGTCTAAAAAGGTTGGGCTTTACTCGGTGTTTGTGGGCTTGGGCTTGGGCTTCGACCTAATTTTAAGGCTCGATCTCGGGTTTAGGTCGGGCCTGGGTGTATCTTCAGGCCCGGCCCAACCTGACAATTTTAGTATTAATTTTACTAAATTATCTTTATACTATATATTTAATTACAAGATTATCCTACATATATATACCCATTTTTTCCGAACCCTAATCTCATCCAATTTGGTAAGTATTAAAAAATAAATTAATATTTAAAAATTGTTTCTAGAATTAAATATATAAAAAAAAATTGAAATTTATAATATTTAAAAATTCATATTATAAAAATGACCAGGCTTAGGTTAGGCCTGAGGTTACAAAAAGCTCATTGGGTCGAGCTTGGACTTTATCTTTCATACCCGTGACGGGCTCGGGTTGGGCTTAGACCTTTGTCATGAGGTCAGGCTTAGGCCTGGGCGAAGGGGTACCCAGTGCCGGTCCCAGCCCATTGCCATCACTATCTACCATACAAAGACAGAGCAATCCACACAACACAACCCCACTTTAGAGTCTCTAACTCTGTTACTTTACCATCAAAATTCAACCAGAAACACAGAGAAATTAATGGCGACAGTGAAGAGAATCAAGCTTGGCTAACAAGGCCTGGAAGTTTCAGTTCAAGGCTTAGGCTGCATGGGCATGTTTGCCTTCTATGGCCCTCCAAAACCTGAGCCTGAAATGATCGCCTTGATCCACCATGCCATCAACAGTGGTCTCACTTTTCTTGACACTTCTAATGTGTATGAACCTCACACCAATGAAATTCTTCTCGGCAAGGTTCACTCTTTTTCTCTCTTTCTTTACTTTCTTGTGTGTTTGCATTGTAAAGTACATAGATTAATAAAAGATGAATTAAGAGGTTGAAGATGAACTAATTTATATAATTTCTAATCAAAACTATAAAAGTGAATGAATAAATAAAAAAAAATCCACAGTTTTAAGAATAGTTAGCCCGTCTAAGCCCATCCAATCCACTAAACCCGCTTATGTTGAAAAAAGTAAGCCCGGCCCAATCCCTTAAAACAAATGAAGCTACCGGCTAGCCCATGGATATTGATCATTATTATTCAATATCTTGTGTGAAATGCAACAAAGCTTAAATCAATCCAAGTGGATAGAGCTGGGCCAAACCAAAGTACATAGAAATCCAACTTTGATAACACAATTTGGATAGTACCAGAAGCTTCATTTGACCAGCAAAATAGTCCTTTTGAAAAACATGATTTTATTAATATACACATGTTTTTTTTTTTTTTTTTTTTTTTTTTTTTTTGAGAACCAAAGTTGCGCCACTGGTCAATCCATTTTCTTGCTCTCAAAATTCCTTAAATAGTTTGGTGGTCAAAAGTTGAGAAATTACATATTTATCCCTTAGTTTTTGTCTACTATTGAGGACATTTGTTTTAAATTCTAGCACTTTGGTCCTTTAACTTAATAGACCTTTAGTTGACTGTTTACTGACGTGAAAATTATATAAACCCATTCTTGCAGATTGACCCTTGTAAAAAGAATGTATAAAAATAATAATAATAATAATTTGGTATTTTAGAAAAATTCTCTCATTTATATTTCTTTATATGTGTGGTTTGACTATATGTTCTAGTCTTCTAGAGATCATGTTAATTTCATTGAAAAAAATAATTAAATTATATCGTGCACTTAATCTACGAGACAAAAGAGTACATGTCTTTTGGTGTGCTAATCATAAATATGTAATCTCCAAATTTCGATATATGAAAAAAAAAAAAAAAAAAACCAACTAAATAGCTATGTTTTTTATTGTACTTTTTAAATTAATTGTTGAAGATAGTGTTAGATAGGGGTATATTCGTCCAAAAAAAAAGTATGACTAAATAGTATAATTTTTTTAAATAAATTATTAATTTTTAGAAAATATGTCGTACATCACAAAGTTTTACAACGAAGATTAGTCCTTTAGATTAGATGCAAGTAGGAAAAACCTCAACAATCATTTAATGAATCAAAGTTGGATTATTAATTACAAATAAATTATTTCACAAGAACCCTAAATTATTTTTGTTAAAAGGAATAATTTATAAGAAGTTTTTATATAATTAACATTTTTTTTTTTTTTTTGGTGACTGGGGCTGGCCTTACGCATTATCTCTATTCTCCACTAATCCTCAAAATCCTGAAGTTAACGATTGGATAAACCTTTTCGTGGCCATCCCTATTTTTATATAATTAACTTTTTGTTACATGAGTACAAAGTTGAATACTTGAATGGACAATACACGAAATATTGACGTGACTAAAAAACCCAAACTCTTTGTTTCCCCCACTTTCGTCCCTCTACTATCCGTAAGGGCTGACCTAAGCATGTCATCACCCAGATAACTCACTCAAACACTATCCGCACAACATAAGTTACACAACTGCACTTACTTTACCATTAAATTCAACCAGAACACAGAGAAATTAATGGCGACAGTGAAGAGAATCAAGCTTGGCTTCCAAGGCCTGGAAGTTTCAGCTCAAGGCTTAGGCTGCATGGGCATGTCTGCCTTCTATGGCCCTCCAAAACCTGAGCCTGAAATGATCGCCTTGATCCACCATGCCATCAACAGTGGTGTCACTTTTCTTGACACTTGTTATGTGTATGGACCTCACACCAATGAAATTCTTCTCGGCAAGGTTCACTCTTTTTCTCTCTTTCTTTACTTTCTTGTATGTTTTGTTGAGTTTCTTCAGGCTTGGCTTGATCATACACCGACTGCGTTTGGATAATGAACAGAGAATTTTTTCAACAATATTAAGTATGTAATATAATGCGGAATTTAATCACTACCTCCGGCCAAATTGTTTAAGTGCTGCAAAAAGCCAAACGTGAATGATCGGTGAGTGAGTGTTTGATAAATATCTTATAACTTATGCCTCCAGAACCTTTTTGTGTTTTAATGATATCTTTTTGATGGAGAAGATGATATCTTTATATATGGTTAGGCTAGAAACTAAGTAACTCTCATCAACTACCTTTAACCTCCCATTAAGGATCAAGAGAGGCAGTTGAGTAACTCCTCTAAACCACCTTGAAATGCATAATTGTGGCATATGGCCACATCAAGTCTTACATTTTTTATTTTGCTCTAATTGCAAATGTGTCCATGAATCCATGTGGTTGGGAAATGAAGGAGAAAAGATGGATGAGATGACGATTTCATAATTTAGACGAGGTTTTGATGAATTTTTTAAGCCAATATGTTACATTTTTTGGGAAGTTAGTGAAATTTTGTCATGTTATTTTAGGCTATGTTTTTGGTTTTGGATTTGTACAGGGTTTAAACTTGATTGTGGTTCGTTATTTGATGTGAATTTGAGCAGGCTTTGAAGGGAGGGATAAGAGAGAGTTGAATTGGCCACTAAATATTGTGTCAGCTTTGTGGACGGCCAGATGAAAATAAATGGTGATCCGGCCTACGTGAGGGCTGCCTGTGAGGCGAGCTTGAAGCGGCTAGGTGTTGATTGTATTGATCTTTACTACCAACATCGGATTGACACTCAAGTTCCCACTGAAGTCACGGTTTGCCCCTTGTTAAACTTTTACTCTGCTTGTTAATTAGTATTATTAATCGGAATCACATTTAGATTGTTATTTGTGCACATTATGATGCTATTAAGTCAGTTAACCAATTGAACGGCCTGCAGCTAACAAGGTTTCTTTTAAGTTTCTTGCAAATTGAATGAATGAGAGTAGTTACACTGATCAGAGGTTTTTCCCAGGTTGCAACCTGAAAATCTGGAGCATAACAAGAAGTTATTTGAGCGTGTTAATGAGATAGCAGCAAAGAAAGGATGCACCACATCCCAGCTTGCACTAGCCTGGGTTCATCACCAAGGAGATGATGTTTGTCCAATTCCTGGAACCGCCAAAATCGAAAACTTCAATCAAAATATTAAAGCGTTGTCTGTGAAACTAACTCCAGAAGATATAGCTGAACTTGAATCCATTGCTGCGGCAGATGCTGTAAAGGGTGAAAGATGTATGAGTAGTGACTTTAGTAGTTATAAGGACTCTGAAACTCCTCCGCTGTCTTCATGGAAAGCTTCTTAGAGGCATGCAGCCATGGATATTATGCCTTCTCCACACTTTTATCTAGAAGTGTGTTGCATCTCTTCATTTTGTATTTTGTTGTGAGATAAGTATTTTGTGTGAAATTACTATGTTTGATATGGATAAGAGCAAAACTGTGCGATGTTTTTGTTAGAAACTAAATAAAGATGCGAGGGCGACTATTATATAGCACTGTAGAGCATATTATAAGTTTTACATTATAAGGTTGCATATTTTACCTTGATGTATTGATACTTCATTGTACTGTAGCAAAAGCCTGATGGGAGTTATAAATAATTATTTTGGATTTATTTCATTTGCCCTATGTAAGATCGCTTAATATAAACACAACCGTTATTATTGAAAAATACTATATACTTTGGTTGTGTGACGTGACTCACGTCACCTCACAAGGTGTCCCTGCCCCATCGGATTTGCGCTCCTAGGGACTTGGGATCTCGAAGGAGGGTGATAAATTTTGAAAACAAAACTGGAAATTGAAATTTGAATAAATCCAAGTACAAATATTGCATCAGAGTGCTCCAGAGTTCCACAAATCAGCAGATGAACATGAGTTAGTAGGCCAACCTGGAGCGTAGTGTAAGCTCCGCACAAACCCTGTACTCAATCTTGGGTCATGGAAAGCTTCTTGAAGCCATGCATTAAGAGATGAAAAAGAAGAATTTATTTTGCTGTGAGAATAAGTATATTTTGCTAAATTTGTTCTTTGTTTTTTTGTTCCTAGTTTCTAGTTCTTTTTCTTCTTTGTAGAGTTTGTGTGGTCTCTTTGGACGTTTGAATCTCTTTTTGTGTTTCTGTTTACGAGCCTATATGTTTCTTTGTGGGTGTCTGTGCCTTTTTTGTTTACCCTTAAGAAATTTAGTATGTAAAAATAAATCCAGAAAATAAAAATAAAAAAGTTTGAAAAATAAAGAGCAATTCACGACAGGGTTCATGTTTTTTGGCTAGCGGATAGGCTTACTTTCTTTGGCTGCTTTTTGGGAATTAATGAGTTTGAATAATTGATCTTATAATAGGTCTATAATGATGTCATTGTTTTTGCACCATTGTTGTTCTTGTGTCTATGTTTCATCTCCATTTGGTTTTCTTGACTTGTATTTTTCAAAACCTAGGAATATGAGAAATTTGAATTTGACTCAGTTCTAGGAAATTGAAAGAGGGATTGGATTTGGCTTTCTTTATTTTGATATCGATGTCTCTTTCTTTCCTTCTTTCTCCTTGTTTCCTTGCACTCACCACCAAATCTGACGCTGACAACTTGCCTAAAATGGTTTGGTTTGGTTTTAGGAGAAAGGATTTTAGTCGCATTTTTAGGGATTTTAACATCGGGGTGTTCTTTATCATTTTTACAAACTTTTTTTTTTTAAATTTTAGTTTAATCCCCTAAACTTAATAAAACCCCTAAAACGCCTCTAATAATTCGAGCCTAACAAGCCGAGCCAAGGCAGGCTTGAACTTGGCTCGTGCTCTCTCACGAATCGAGCTGAGCCGGCTCGATTCTAGACGAGGCGAGCCGTTAACGAGCTGAGCCGAGTCGGCTTGCGAGTGGCTCGCTTTGTTGAACAACCCTAGTTATATCGGTTGGACCGGTTTTTTTCCAACAAACCATCGGTCCAACCGGTATAACCTGGGATTGCTACAATAAAATATTAAAAATAATAAAATTAGAAGTAACCCTTTTCAGCTTTTCACTTCTTCCTTTCCCATTTTTATTAGACAAAACCAACGCTAGTAGAGAAGAAAAAAAAAAAAAAAACCATTAAAAATTAAAATCTGTATTTTTTTTAACATTTCTATTTTTGGCATGATGTTAATATGATGATGTCACGGTCCGACCCGTATGGTTGGACATTTCTATCCGTAAAACCCGTGACCTTGTGGCTTGGCCGGGTTGCCCCCAGGGTTGGGTTTTAAAACCTTGATAAACATACGAAGAGTCAAAGACAAAGCAATCCACAGCACCACTCATTTGTGTACCTTCAGTAATTTCCCAAATTTAGAGGCTGAAAAGGTTGTTTCACAATTCGATGCGAGCGTTAACAGTCAATAATAATGGCCACCATGTGATAGTCACAATTGTCTGGAGATCTTCATATTCCACCATCACTCTTTCCATCTTCGTCATTCACTTTATTTCTCTCTCACTCCTTCAAAAGGTTGAACCAGAGGAGCTGATTGACGATTATTGGCCTTTCGAATCAAGAAAATCCACTGTGAAAAACATGGGGGAAGCGTCGAAAGATGTCAATACCTACATGATGGGAGTTTCGGGCATGGGTGGAGTGGGGAAGAATACATTTGTGAAGGAAGTTGGTAGGAAAGCCATGAAGATCTCTTATTTGAGAGGTGGTTTTCGCAGAGGTAACGGAAACTCCAGACATATTTTTTGAATTGAAAAATCGTTTTCGACTGTGAAGGTTTAGGGTTTGACTCTGTGAGTTGATATTAGAAACAAAATCCCCAAATGTGTTATGAGATTATTCTCTCTTACTCCCAATTTCAATCCGATAGTTTTGTTTTTAGAATTGTTTTTTACCAAAGAACTTTTTGTTTCATCTCTCTGTTTGATACTTCGTATGTTTGGCTGTGCAGGGATGATGATTATCTCTCAAATCTTCTTCTGTTAGATAACACCATACGTGTGTTAGCATCCCGACTCACCACTGTAATTTCTTTCCCTCACTGTGCTTCACTTATTATAATCTTCCAATTCTTCATTTTAATTTCTTATTTTGTCTAATTTTGTGCAGTATCTGTGTAGAAGAAGACCCGGGCATGTTCAACCCCGTAACTTCTCATCGCACGATGTCAAAGGTGGATTTTTTTATTTTTCTGGGTAATAATTTGATTCGCTAATGCTCTCTTTGGTTGCAAAGAAATTAAAAATTTTATTTTAACTTGATTGACTTATAGATGAACTCCCTCTTATTGAGCAAGAAGGGATATATTCTGAAATAATGTGCGGGGGTTTTTGATTGCTAGGATTGCAACTTATTTTGGTTATCCACGTTTTGGTTTACCTTTCATGGTTATGAGAATTGTTTTTCTACTAGCTTATGTTATTGAAAGTTGCTGCCTTTGAAGGGTTCTTAACTTAATCTTATGATTTGCTAAAATTAGGAGATGATTGGAATATGTGACACGCTGTGTCACTTTTGAAATCCAATTATAAACAAACCGAAGCATATATTAGCCCGTTATGCAATAGATGGTAAAGATTTGTTCTTTCTTCTTTAATGACATTATTGTTAAGATTGGAGATTGTTTATGGACTGCATCTGATATTTTAATTTTGGCTTGGAGTGGCAGATTTCTCCTTATGAAGCATTAGGATCCAAGAATTCATGACAAGCCGAGTATTTGGCTAACCGAACTTGGTCGAGTATGGCATTCCTTGTTCGAGCTCGAACTCAAGTACAGGAAGGCATACTCGGACTCGAGTTCGAGCTTGTGTTATCAAACTTGAGCTAATTGAATTCGAGTATTGCTGGATTAGCTTCAAAATTCTGGATCTAAATTATACTCAACTCTCATTCTCTCCATCCATTTCTCACTCACAAAATCCAAACCTGCATTACAAGAAGCTGTTAAAACTGCCAAAAAACTATATTCATCCAGTACAAAACTTCTCGCATCAAATAAACGAAAAAGCTCAAGTACTGAATTTTCTTGTCGCGCATAACTAGCTATCATAGCATTCCACGCAACGATATTTAATTCGCTCAAATTCTCATAAAAAGCCCTTCTTGCATCAAACACAAGCCCAGCTTTTCCATATCCATCAATCAAAGCGGTTCCCACAATCACATTCTTGTCCAAACCCACAACAACAGAATGCCCATGAACCACCCTGCACTGCTTCATCACCGCTAGCTCTAGACACGCTGTGCATTGTGGACCCCAGATCACAGCTCCTCATATCAGCAAACACTGATAAAGAATCCAACAACGAGAGTTCTGCGTGAAACACACGATCATTGCCGTGTAACAGACCTTGTCTCTGTTTTGAATTTCATCGAACCCCTGTTGGCATCGTCCGGGGAGAAAAAGTGAGAGCAGAAGTTAACGAGAGCGGTGCCGCAGAAGGGTTTGTTTTGGAGGGAGAGTTTGAGAGAGAGTGGAGGGAAAGGCCAAAGGAGAAAGCGTGAGAGAGAGCTGCAGGTTTTGAACAGGGAGGCTAAGGTGCGCTGATTGTTGATTAGGAGGTCAGGTTCAATGGTTTGGTGAAGCTACTCAAAATCAAAAGTCAAAAAAGTGTAACTGTGCATACTGTTTGCTTCTTGCTTTATGAAAAGGTGGAGAAAGATTAGACATTGGAATAGTGATGTTAACAGTCCTAATTTGTATTATTAGTATAATGTTATAGGTAGCCTTGGATATCCAGATTGCACTGTCTGGATTTGGATTTTGGATTTGTTGTATTTGTGATAGTGTTATTTGGATTTCAGATTTTATTTTGTTATTGGGTTTATAATTTTCAATTTTTTTCAGGTCTGATCAGCATGATGTCATCATACGGAGGTCAACATGATGACATCATACTGAGGTCAACATGATGACATCACTGGTCCGATGCACTAGTCGGACGGCTCAATCGCTCGACCTGGGACTCGGCCCCTTGGCTGGGTTACACCCAGGGTTGGGTTTCAGAACATTGATAAAGTGTTACAATTGTATCAATTATAAAGAATATTAAAAATGAATATAAATATTTTAGTGCATGTTATAACCAGTATACTGTTATGATAATTATATTGTCGTGAACCCCTGAATTAAATTCCTGGAATTGTTCCTAAATTTAGGCCTTGACAGAATGAAAAAAAATTGAATGAATCATGGTTATGTCCCTAAATTTACTCCACATACTTTGTAAAAACTTTATATTTTTGGTAGCTTTTAAGTTATGATTTTGCATTCCTGTGCAGGTATAGTTATTGAATCACTTGGTTTGAAATTACTACATGATGTATGCAAGGAATGTGGAGGTTTGTCCATTGCCATTGCTACTGTAGCGAGAGCATTGAGGAACAAGACAAATCAGTTTGAATGAGAAGATGCTTTGTGAGAACTGAGAATGCCTTCCCCAACCAAGTTCATATGTGGTTGGAAAATGGATATTCAAATGTTTTGTTGAGTTACAATTACTTAACAGGTGATGGAACTCAAGAAAAATTTTTAAATTTCTACTCTAATGGAAAATGATACTTCTATGTCGGACTTCTTCAAACATATCATGGGTTTGGATATACTTGAAGGAGGTTAACCTTACAATAGAATATGCACGAAATAGACTAGATAAAGTGGTTGGTGAACTCATAGATTCTTGTTTGTTACTTGATGAAATAGACTAGATAAAGTGGTCGGTGAATTCAAAAGACCCTTTTTTGTTACTTGACAAAATAAATTAGATAAAGTGGTTGGTGGACTCAAAGATTTTTGTTTGTTATTTGACGAAATAGACTAGATAAAGTAGTTGGTGAACTCAAAGAGTCTTTTCTGTTATTTGATGAAATAAACTAGACAAAATGGTTCGTAAGCTCAAAGACTCGTGTTTGTTACTCAGTGGTTCTTCCAGTAAACGATTGTGATGTTGCCTTAACGATTAGCTTTTGGCCTAATGTTTTAGACTGTTCAGACCTTGAGTTTTTATGAGTATGTTGGTTCTTTAAAAATCCTGGATAGTTTTTTCCAAGGTGTGGCTACCGTTGTTGCAGTCCTCGATTGGTCTCTTGATAAACCTTCAAACATTGTGTTAATGTTTGGATTATAGCAGGATTTAAAATGTTGCTATCATCTGAGAACTGAAGATACTCAAAGTCCTTGTCCTTAGCCTGCGAGATTCTTGTTATATAAGAGTTGAGTAATAGGCCAATTGACGCCACTAATCTTGTTAGATTCAAGCAATTGGGAGCAACTAGAAGTTATTGCAGAAAATGTAATATCAAGCTTATTTCGATTAACTGTATAAGGGAGTGCTCTGTTGAATGGAAATGTAATATCAAATGATGAATGCTCTGCTAGATTTAGATTTTTGTTTATGCACATTCTCGATTTTTAACATGTAGAAGTGTCACTGATTTTGTTCCTCTTTTTGCATCTATTGTTTTCTTGTGATAAATTTTTTTTTATCGGAATTTCATTTTGTAATGGTGTGTTTCCATCTCTGTTCAATATTATTTTGTTATGCAAGGTGTGATTAAGAAGAAAAACAATGAACAAAAAACTGAAAGGATAATATGAAATCCAGAATCATCAGGGAAATATAAAGGTTTTAACCGTTGTGTAAAACTGCAGAAAGTAAAAAATACTATGAAAGAATGCAGTAAACAGAGTATTGATTGCTAATTTTCATTCACTACATCTACAAGATGCATGACTTTAAGAAGCTTCCCATGAAGACAACGGCGGAGTTTCAGAGTTTTTGTAAGTAGCATGGCTATACATATCTCTATCGCCCTTTACGGAATCCGCCGAAGCAATGGATTCAAGTTCAGCCATATCTTCAGGAGTTAGTTTCACAGACAACGCTTTAATATTTTGATTGAAGTTCTCAACCTTGGTGGTTCCAGGAATTGGACAAACATCATCTCCTTGGTGATGAACCCAGGCTAGCGCAAGCTGTGCTGTGGTGCATCCTTTCCTTTCAGCTATTTCATTAACACGCTCAAACAACTTTTTGTTATGCTCCAGATTTTCAGGTTGCAACCTGGGTAAGTTCTGCAAAAAGATGAAATTAAAAAAAAGTTAGGACGCCATTTTGTGCATCGGAATAGAGTGATTCCGGTGCATTTTTGGCTTTTCTAATGCCAGATTGGAGTTTGAAATACCTAATATTCATGTTTTGCTTCCGAATGCATATGTAATACATTCGAAATACTAAGAACTGAATTGTTATTAACAAACCTGTCTATAATCATCCTTTGAAATGTTTTGAAGCAACTTAGGCCCTGAAGAGAAGAATCCTCGTCCTAGAGGACTGTATGCAACAATCCCAATGCCAAGTTCCCTGAGAAATTAATCAACAAGGTTTGCATTAGAATTAATTCATATGGTTATTTTCTATTTGACTGTAAGCAATTCAATTAGCTCCATTAATGTATCGATTGCATTACCTGCAAGTAGGAACTATGTCTTCCTCTACATCTCGTGACCATAAGGACCATTCTAGTTGCACGGCTGTTATCGGATGAACAGCATGAGCTCTTCTAATTGTTGAAACACACGCTTCAGATAAACCTATATACTTTATTTTGCCCTCTTCAACTAGTTTTTTGAGTTCACCCATCTTTCAAAACACACAAGAAAAGAACAAAGAATTAGATGTGATCCGTATAAGGAACAAATGGACAGTTGCAATGCAAGACTACTATTTTCATGCATTGAGAAAGGGTAGTTTTTGCTCTGTACATGTTTGCTAAATATTTCCTTTAACTAAAGACAATTACCCAAGTCCGAGTACATGTTTAACATAGACAAAAACATATAAACAGGGGACTTTAAAATTAAGAAATCTGCACGCTAACAACAAACACGAATTAACAAGCAGAGTGAAAGTTTAGCAAGGGGCAAACCGTGACTTCAATGGGGACTCGAGTGTCAATCCGATGTATGTAATAAAGATCAATACAATCAACATCTAGCCTCTTCAAGCTCCCCTCACAGGCAGCCCTCACATAAGCCGGATCGCCACATATTTCCATCTTGCCAATGCCATCCACAAAGCGGGCACCAAATTTAGTGGCCAATTCAACTCTTTCTCTCACCCCTCCCTTCAAAGCCTGCCAAAATTCACATCAAAGAGCAAACCAATCAAGTTTAAAAACCCTAAACAAAGCCACAGAAAAACAAAATTTAAACTAAAACAACGTAACAAATTGTGACGATCCTAGTTGAGTCCCACATCGGTAAAGCTTGGCATGTTTAATAATTGCTTGGACACTCCCCTTACAAGCCTGTTTCAAAGGTGAGTTCTACCCTTTTGTGGTTGTTATAATTGGTATGAGAAGAAGACCATCCTCTGGGCAAACCTCGTGGGATTGGCACTCACTTGGAACGACCATCGTCGGACATGAGGTGACTGGAGATATAAAGTAAATCCTGCCAGCTGGGCATATCAAGCTGATGTCATCTTAACTGAGTCCTTAGAATTTGTGGTTGTTACACAAATTTCTCTAACCCCCTAAGATTTGTTTAATACGTATAGAACCAGAGTTTTCTGTTCATTATTTTAAACCCAGTTGTTGTATGATCAAGTTAAGCCTGATGAAACTCAATAAACTACAGGAGAAAATATAAAGAGAG